TTTGATCATGTGACCGTGAGGATGCTGCAATAATCGCAAGTGTGAAAAACGGTCGTAAGCCACTTTTTTTTTTTCAGTGGTGTTGTAACTTCGAACAGTCACTACAACGAACTGTTGTAAGTGTTGTGGTTCGCCGGCAGCCGGTGCAGACGGCAGAGGTATCGGACAGTGAGGACGAAAGGGAACACCAGTCTGGAGAGGACTTGGACGAGGGTCCTGCGTCCGATGCAGGGATGAGTCCAGGACCATCTGGGAGTGGAGTGCTGCCTTCAGAGCCTTTGGAGTCTGGCAGCAGCGAAGCAGAGGATCCAGGGGAGCCTGTTCCCACTGCGCGTGTGCACAGAGCTGCTAGAAGGCGAGAGCAGCTGAAGCAGAAGGGGCGACTCGGGAGTAAGGCTGGGAGGAGATTGCCCCTCCCATAAGGGATAAAAGTCAGACCTCAATGACGAACACTTTGCAGGAAGCAAAGCAGTTCAATATATTCTGAGTCCTTCTTGAAGCTCTGCGTATTCTGGTCGGTGTTTTCTGGGTTATAATTAATTTGGATACTTCTGGTTTTGGTAGCATTTCACAGCACTGACAGGCGTGTGCTTATCTGATTTAAGTTAGCTTTGGCTGTGAATGAAAATAATTCCCAGTGCTGCATTTAAAAAGGTTTTGCTTTTAAAACAAGTCTGTGTTTAATTACGTTTGACGAAGCCTGGGTCAGAACAGTAAGTTGAGGACTACCTGGAATGCATTTTGAGCACTTTCTCACTCTTCATTCTCATTCCCCATATTTAGTTATAGCAAGCTGAGCAAGACCAAGCAATTAAATGTTGCCGGGATGAGGGCATTGAAGAGGAAAGGTAATAGATCAACGATACCTTGTTTTCCCACTCCCCTCCCAAGACAGTGACAGTCTATCACCTTTTTCCATAAATAAAAAGACTAGGCAATAGTAAGAACAGGCAGCGAGGAGAGATTTGACCCTTTCATCGCTGGCCAGCATTGATTTATCTCTGGTGGAGAAATACCGGTACCAATATATTCTCCATGCAAGAGAGAAGACAACCCCAAAACGGGTTGGGGGAAAGGGAAAAAAATAAGTTGTCTCTTTCCTCCACCCATTATATTCCTTTGATCAAGATCTACAACACAGATAGTCCTCGATCCACGACCACAATTGAGCTCAACATTTTTGTTGTTGAGATGTTTGTTAAGGGAGTTTTGCCCCACCTCCCTTGCCATAGCTGTTAAGTGAATCACTGCAGTTGATAAGTTAGTAATCCAGTGGTTAAGAGAATCTTATTTTCCCATTGACTGTGCTTGTCAGGAGGTCGCAAAAGGTGATCCCGTGACCCTGGGACACACCAGTGGTCATAAATATGAAGCATCTGGATTTTGATCACATGATCATGGGGGTGTCGCAAAGGCCTTAAGTGTGAAAAATGGTCATAATTGGTCCACGCTGGACCACAAATGGTCACATTTTTCACTGCCGCTGCAACTTCAAACAGTCACTAAACGAACGGTTGTTACAACATGTCTATTCTCTGATGTATTTTAATCTTCAGAATTATGAGAATGCCAATTTATATGTAGTCAAAAGGTCCCACGCATAACTGTGAGATGTCAACAGACTTCATTCTTGCCAATGTGTTACTTCAATAAATCTGTAGAAAGAAAACTAAAAAGGGAGCTCTTAGGACGAAATATTAGTTGGGTACTGAAATAACATGAAAAGCCAAAATGTGGCTTATCGGTGAATAATCCACTGGTTAGTGTCTCCTTTCAAGCATGAAAGCTAAAAAGCAGATGCCCAGTTAGTCCTCTTTACAACAATTCTGCAGCACCTAACCAGAAAGTGATGTATCTTCAGCCACAGAGGCATCTTTCCTGAATTGCTCTGAAAAGATCATTTAAAGGTCCCTAGACGTGGAAGTGAGCTCTACCCACACAAATCAGTGAAGAAAACGAAGATGTGAAAATAAGTGGAAGAGGGCATCTGTCCATCCAGCCTCCCAGCTGAAGAAGATAGCAGAGAAGAGAAGCATTCCTATTCTATTCTCATCCTGTTTTTATTTAGCATGCCATGTTAAACTAATAGCCTTGTCCATAAAAAGCAGGAAGGAAAGTCTACTCATCGCCCATTATGCAGAATGGAAGGACTGAGACAGTGGTGGGATTCAATTTTTTTTTACCGGTTCTGTGGGCGTGGTTTGGAGGGCGTGGCAGGGGAAGGATACTGTAAAATCTCTAGTCAGAGGTGGTATTTGCCGGTTCTCTGAACTACTCAAAATTTCCGCTACCGGTTCTCCAGAACTGTTCAGAACCTGCTGAATATCATCTCTGACTTGAGAGAGAGCAGGATATGACAGTCATACAACATGGTTTACCCTAAATGTTATAGCACAGATTCTTTAGTGGTTCACAGTAACCTCACACGCTCAGGTTGCCCAAGTTGCTTAACTCAGTTACTTTCACACCTAGCAGCTGCATTTACTAAAAGTTAATCTGGTTAGTTTTTCTCTAACAAGAAAAAAAACAGGTCATTTGGTTAGGCTATGGTTCAGTGTACTGTACAAGCTCAGTACATTGGCTGATTCAGTAGTCACATTATTTATGTTGGGTCCAGCTATATTAAACTTTGAACGAAGAGTGAATGAAATAGATTGTAACAACCCATAATATTATCCAGTTATTTTTATTTCCTTACTGCACTGTATGTTAGCTAAAAAGAATAATATGTAACAAGCCTCCAATGTCATTCTCTCTATTGTAGACAGGGTCGTTGTGCTAAGACACAGCTTACAGGAACCTTGCAACATAATCCATTGTTAATTAAATCCTTTGTTCTTGTTAGGTTGCAACAAAGCCTCATCTCTGACTAAATTAACTTCTACTGAAACAGTGCAACTGCACTTCTTAATCTCCAAAAACATATATAAATAAAGTTTTGCAGTTAAAGGAGAGTTCCTATCAGAGCAGAAATCCTTATATTTTGATATAAGCTTTCCCAATGGAAGAAAACATAGGACAGACAAATCTAGAGTGGTTTGTCTGACACATACGCCAGGCATGCTGGCAAGACAGCCCAGAGCAGCTGGCTGTAGGGAAGGGATGATACCAACAGGCAGGGAAAGCTAGCAAAGGGAGAGGCAGCACAAGTCAGATGGACCAGTCTGGCATATGGGATTGGACCTACTGCCCCCACTTCCCTGTTCCAGGTAATTAATTCCTAGGTTTCTCAACTTAAGCAACTTTAATGCATGTGGACTTCAACTCCCAGAATTCTCCAGATAGCTATGCTGCCTGGGGAACTGGGAATTAAAGTCCACATATTTTACAATGGCCAAAGTTGACAAACACTGGCCTAGTGCTGTCAACAAGAGAGATATGGAACTACATGCCAGCTCTCCCTCCTTAATGAACTTTCTGGTAAGCAAAAAGATGGAAGGGAAAAGGTGGGGAAATATGGAAGATTTTGTAAATGCACCAGTTTCTTAAAAATTCCTTTGCCCAATTGTTCCCCAGGTTTTAAAGAAAGGCCTGCTTTCAGAATATTACCTGTCATAAATTGATGGTTCCTTAGGAAAATGACTTTGGTATTATAGGCTATCATGGCTACTTCTAAAGGAACAAATTTTATTTATTTATTGCCACTACTTGAGGCATTGAAAAATTTAAAAACTGGCAAAATGTTTATGCCATCATTGTGTCATTTTGTTGATTAACAATTTTTTAAAAATCAACCCGCTACAATACATTTAGAACCAGAAGTAGTTGAATATTATCCCTTCAGATGCACTTTTCAAAGAACTTACATAAATGTCATTTGCTAATCTAGGGAGTGTTTTGTTTTGTTTTTGATTCTACAGACAACTAATAATCACATTGAAATGTCAATCACTTTTCACTCAACAGGAAGATCCTTGGTGCAGAGGAAAATAAATCAGGTTCTCATTTAACTTCTCTGTTCACAAGCCCCAACAGATTCCGGCTCAAGCTTTAAATATACTTGGGGGAAGGGGAGAAAAATGCAGAAGGTTCACCCCCTAAAGTTCTTCCAACCTTAGGTGGCTTTATTTAATCAGAAAAGCCGTCTTCACCTAACCAACTGAGATTAATAAAAACCTATTTTCATCCTAAAACTGACGTTTAAAATCACAGATGGAGGGAATTTAGCAGTCAGAAAAATGAACAGACAGGGCATCTTATCATTGCAAAAAATGTGCAGTATTAATATGTCACTAGGAATTTTAAAACCAGGAAGGCAGAAAAGGGAATCAAATAAATCAGAGCTTCATTGCCTGCAGGGTTAAGGATCTCGACTGTAGGCAGAAACACAGAGTGGGATATGTATCACATGGTACATAAAGCACACACCGCATGTATGAACGCTAAGCTTATTCCCCCACACACCCCCCAACTGTATATATACAGTCTACTTATTTTCAAGAAACAACAAAGGTAACTAACAACTGGGTGCAAAATAAGACTCCTTCATAGATGCACCGATTGCCCGGCAAGTAAAAGGAGAAGCAGCAGCAGCGGAAAAAGGGGGGGGGGGGGGAGAGAGAAGACCAGGAATGTCATTTGGAGGTGGCAGCGCTCAGGAACACTCAACGCCCCCCCCCAACCCTCGTTCTTTCCAAACTGTTAGGAAAGGTCCTCGCCTGCGGACGGATGGATCCGTCTCTACTCCGAGTAGTAGTAGAAAGCGAGGGACTTAATCCCGCAAGCAAGGAGTCGCCAGGGTGAGCTAAAGATCCTGCGGCGAGGTGGCCAAGAGCAGCGCTTGGCTCTCCTCCAGCTGCACAAGGCAGGCAAGGGAAGAGGCTCCCGGCTCTCGGTTCAACTCTCCTCCCGAGCGGGGTGCGGGGGGGGGGGAAGCCGGACCGTCAGGGGTGCGGCGCGCGCTGCCTTGGCCCCTCGACGGGCCCGGGGGCGTCCACGGTTCGGACGCGCCTTCAGGGCGAGATCGGGCTGCTAAGCGCGGCGCGACAGCGACGGGGTACCTCGCAGCCGTACAGCTGCCCGAGCTGCTCCACGATCCACTCTTCCAGCACTAGCCTTTTACGCAGCTCTTTCCGATCGTACTTGACCGTCACTTTGCCCTGCTGGTGGCGCCGCTGCTGCTGCTGGACTTGGACCACGGCGGGGGCGACCGAGTCTTCCCGGGAGGCGCTTCCGCGCGGGCTCTGAAAGAAAACCCGGGTCCCTCCGCCGGCGCCTCCACCGGCGGCGGCGGCGGCGGCGGCGGGGCCCGGTTCGCTACCTCCGGCAACCACCGACATGTTCTTCCAGCTCAGCCTCGTGGGCAGATCCCTTCCTCCGGGCGGGCAGGCGGGCGAGCGATCGGTGCTTCGCGGAGCGCCGCCGGAGCTAACGGAATGGCTGCCGACGAAGATGACCTCCTCCGGCCACGCCGCCGTGTGGGAGCGCTCGCCTGCCTACACCTGCGGCTCGCAGCCTCTCACGGCACTGCTCGCCCCTCCGCCGCCGGTTCGGCAGGAGGAAGGCGGGGTGTCCAGCAGTCTGAAAACGGGGCGGGGACAGCGCCTTAAAGACACCACCGGCGCCTCGCTACGCCAGACATTTGCCCCTTGTCGGTCCTTCGGGGCCGCTGCTGGCCTCCCCGACGGATCTCCTGCGCCTTTAAGGCGATTGCTGAGGTAACTACTTGTGGGGCCGACTTAAAGTTGCTGGGGGTTTGGGCTGAAAAGCTCTTTGCCGTCCTGTTCACGCAGCTCTTTGAAGGACAGAAGTCGTCCCAGGGACAAACATGCCTGTCCCGACTGATCTTTTTCTCTGACACTAATATAATTTGGGTTCCGATAAATGTGTGTGCGGGACTTCAGCAGTCTCTTGCATCCGTCGAGTAATTTGGAAGACACCAAAGCGGGTGAACGTATTTATGCAGCGTTGTAACCGGCTGTGGTTTGCTTACTTGTGGCTTGTAAATCAAGATTTGCGTTTAAGTCACACATGTAGCTGTAGGTGTGAGCAAAGGCACGTTGGGCGTAACTGAAACCATTAGGAGTAGTCAAACTATGGATTTGCATGGGTGATTGAAATCTGTTTCCATGAAAAACCATAGTCAGCTTAGCTGTGGTTTGTCGACTGAAATTGCATTCATGCAAATTCATGCAAATTCAAGAATAAGGTTGTGTGCAATCTGAATTCAGGAGTAAAGTGCTATGATTATAATAAAGGAAAATATGTGTAGCTCAGGGTTGACATGATGGGTCCTTGCTGCTTTCTGAGCTTGCTTTTTTTTTTCTTGCAGACATTTCATTAACCAAACTAGGTAACATACCACATTCCTTACTGGCACTGATGATGTTACCTAGTTTGGGTAATGAAATGTTTGCAAGAAAAAAAAGCAAGCTCAGAGAGCACCAAGGACCCCTCATAGCAGGGTTCTTCTGCAAGCAGGCATGTTTGGTCAATCTTGGCAACCCAGTTTCTGTTCTTTGGAATTTAAATCAATAGTAAGGAAAATAAACTCTTCGGACACTTAGATGGTCTTGGGAAAGTCTGTGTTTGGTAGTACATAAAACACAGCTGCCATTGAATAATATAATCCTAAAGTTGCAGACACAATAACTGGAGCACATTAAATTCTCTTCCATTTATTTCTGTTGTTATTCTCTGAATCTGTCTAAATCCTGCTCCAAATTATACACAATAATTCAACATGCGATTTGGCCGGCACAATGAAATGGAGCACTTCCTTCTTGTGATTCGAAAAGTGTACAAATTGTGCTTGCCTTTTTTTGCAGCCACATTGCAACATTTACTCATATATTGTATGCAATTATCTACTTTTTCAAAATGTTTGTATAAGTTCTATTACCAGGATATTACCATGTCCTCCATCCTATGCCTGTAGGATGATTTATGATTTCTAAGGGAAGAAATTTGCATTTGGTTCTGTTAAATATCATTATGTTATCTTCAGGGAGAAAGTATTCAAGCAAGGAGTATATAATTATGTAATTTTACAAAGTACTAGATAATTGCAATAGAAAATACCTAGCTTTGATGATTAAAAAGCAAAGGCTGACATCTTAATTAGATGCAATATTCTAAAAACCACATTAACTAATATATATTATGGTTAAGCCAAATAAAGGGTCACAAAATGTACAAGCTTTCAAAGATCTCCTGATATTTTTTTCTTAAATTATTACAGAAAGCACCTGAGGAATATGAAGAAAAAGAATAAAAGAATTTATATTTAATTTAAATAATAAATTCTTCCTAGTCAAATGCAAGGTAGAATGTAGGAAACGACTAAAGAGGTTCAAATTAAGCTCTTTGTGTTTATTGGGACTGTATATAGGACTCTCTCAAAGGTTGTCATTATGAAAATACTAACAAATATCTGTACCCAGTGAGATGGACTGAAGTCCTTGACTTACAATGGTTCATTTAGTGACTGTTTGAAGTTACAACATCTCTTTAAAAATTGACTTATGACCATTTTTCACACTTATGACTGTTGCAACATCCTCATAGTCACATGATCAAAATTCAGATGCTTGGCAACTGACTCCTATTTATGACCTTTGCAGTGTCATGGGATCCTGTGATCCCCTTTTACAACCTTCTGACAAGCAAAGTCAACGCGGAATCCAGATCCACTTAACAACCGTGCTGCTAACTTAACAACTACAGTTAACGATTGTGGCAAGAAATTGGCCACCATTTCTTAAAAGGGGGCAAAACTCATTTAACAAATGTCTCACTTAGCAACATAAATTTTGGGCTCAATTGTGTTCGTAAGTCGAGGACTACCTGTAATACTTATAAAAGTATTCCCCTGTCCAGTCGTGCCTGACTCTAGGGGCCAGTGCTCATCTCCATTTCTTAGCTGAGGAAGCCAACATTGTCCAGCATTGTCCAAAGATGCTTCTGTGGTCATTGTGCCATGGCCAGCAGCCAAGGAATGCTGATATCTCTCCAATGAAGTGGTACCTATTTTTCTACTCGCATTTGCATGCTTTTTAACTGGAGCTGGAACAAGTAACTGGAGTTCACCCCATAATACAGTGCTTGGGTCCTGAACCTGAGCAGTCAGCTTTCCTGCTGATAAGCTCAGCACCCCCTTCCCTGAGAGTGATATTTATAACATCATCATAATAATGATATTAAAAACAGCATACTTGGCTACTTCTTTTGTGTATCACGGCAAATACATTATTTCCTCAGTACCAGCACTGAATCAGAAAGCCAAGTTTTAAATAAAACTCTGTCTCTTACTATCCCTGATACTTGATGACGTGGGGAAGGTAATCCATCATTGTTGGGAGGAGAACAGTTTAACCATGTTCAGCCAAGCATGCTTCAAGAATAAATATTAGAAGGGAGAGAAACCAAGTAAAATTTGCAGCTCCCTCACAACTGTGCCTCATCTTCCATTCCCCTTGGCAGGTTCATAGATCATACTAAGCTATAATACAGCTTATGGATTTTATATAAACTCAGTTATCGTAATTAGATTATAATTTATGGCATATTCTATGAAATTAGCCAGGTAGGTTATTTTCAACAAACAACACTTAAAACCACAGATGGGCGCAATATGTGAATGTAAGCATTCTTAATAGCTTAGGGTTACATCAAACTGAACAAAATTAGCACTTTCTAACCATAATTCTGATTTTCTTTTCCTGCCACTGAAAACAACAATCAACATTGATTCATTCATTTAATCGAGTTAAATGGTGGCCCACTTGCCAAAGATATTCTGGGCGGCTAACAACATTAAAAAACAGTCAATGAAATAAAAAACAAACGTATATTCTGGCTGTTAAAACACATCATACCATTTTCAAAGTTGGGCATAATTCAAACCCCAAATCTGCCAGAAGGTGAAAAATGAGCAAGGCGTTGGATGACCTATAAAGTGACTTCCAACCATAGGCATACACAGAGGGGCAAGTCAGTGGGGATAAATGACACATGCACAATGACATTGCGTAATGTCATGACCACATTATCATGCAAATACCATGACTTATATACTTGTGTCAGATGTTATGATATATAATTATATGGGTGTCTGCTGCTATCTGCAATAATGTCAAAATGACAAATGTCATGACATAAGCTCCATATGTGCACCTTAACATCACATACAAAGAGTGAGTTTGTTTTGTGATGTCACAGTGCATATTTTGTCACTTGCCCAAACCCTGCCTTCCATGCACAGCTGTGGTATTTGTACGATGATATCAGCATGTAGGTAATCATTTCGACATTGCTGTGATTTGTTATGGGTACTGCCTCTTCCAACTTACACATGCTATAAAAAGGGCAAAAAAAGCTTTCTGCCATCAGATGCCATTTTATTTCCAATGAAATACATTGAAATTGTCAGCAATCTTGAATAATTTGCTATTCACACAAACTAATTACAAAGCTTCAATCCCAATAAGATGATCTTTGGGGAACCCAAATTACCATTAATTCTCATATTGTGGACAACAAGATTTATTACAGAATTTTCTCTATACAAAATGGTGTGTGTGTGTGAGAGAGAGAGAGACAGAGAGAGAGAATCTTGTTTGTATATACATACTTATTCATATATATACATAGAGTTATTTTGTTTTAAAAGCCCTAATATTCATCCAGGCTCTTACAGTCCACCTAAACACTCCATGCATTCTTTCTACAATTTTAGTCCACCATATCATGGAAGTAGCACTTGCACATAGCTTCCACAGTTATCTAAACCATTGTTTCCATTTCACTGTTTTCAGTATTTTTCAATTTCAGCAATGTTGAGATAGATGGACTTCAACTCCCAGGATTCGTCAGCCAGCCATGGGGAATTAAAGTAGCTGTAACAGAGAGCACTGGTTTAAGTCAAAGGGTTAACACATTCGTCTTTAAAGTCAGCAAGACTCAACGGCCTACCAAAATCAATATGATTTGACAGACAATACGACTTTAATTGTCTGTCACGGTTGTGCAGTTGTTTAAAACCTTTTTGCATTGTTGATTTTTCACCTTCTCCCCATTAAAAAATCACCATTTTTTACCTCCTTATAAATGAAGCAAAATTCTTTTTTTTTTTCTTTATAGACATACATACAAATATGTCAGAGTTAACATGCCATTTTGTTTTGCATGACTGTGTAGGGAAAAAAGAGCAGAGAATATATAGATCACTGATGCTGATCTAGTCTTAGAAAAATGGAAGCATAAATGGATATTTTAGGTCAAGAAAGTTAATCTTTGCTAGTGAAGGGCACTCAAAAGTCAGGGGTGTAGCACCTTCCATTTTATTTAAAAAAATATGTTTTGTGAACTGATTCTGCTTTTTAATAAAGTATGCTAGACTGAAAAGTATTACCAGATTCTCTCTGCTTTACTAATACCAGATATTCCTTTACTTCCTTCCCCTGTCTGCCCACCCACCCCCAAACATTCTTTTCATTGAATGAATGA